GGTGATTAAACTCATTCCCACGTGTGTGCATATTGTAGATGGATTGGAGTTCGTCACGTCGTCTTCGTCCGACGATTCCGACATAGAAGATTTCATCCTCAACGATGATGATGAAACCCTAGTTTTTTTCATCTCGTCGACGAATTTGAGGCGGGGCCGAAGAAAAAGTCAACCGACTATGGATTCCCTACAACCGAGCTCTCGGTGACAAAATTCTCATGAAGGACTACTTTGCCGAGGTACCGACATATCCGGTTCACCTCTTTCATAGCCGATATCAAATGCATAGGTCACTTTTCATCCGCATCGTCGAGGCATGTGAGCAAAATTGGCGTTTCTTCACCCGACATAGGAATGCCGCCAATTTGATTGGTTTTAGTGCATATCAAAAAAAAATCGGTCGTGATGAGAGCCATTGCATATGGTGTTCCGGCCGACTATGCAGATTAATATCTTCGCATTGGCAAAGATACCACCATCAAAAGTGTTTGTGTCTTTGCGAAGACAATAATCCTGGTTTTTTACCCGGAGTATCTTCGTGCTCCAAACGAAGATGATGTAAAGAAACTCATGGCAATAAATGAAGCAAGGGGATGGTCGGCCATGCCAGGTAGTACTGATTACATGCATTGGAGGTGGAAAAACTACCCGGTGGCTTGGGCAGGGCAATACACCGGCCACAAACGCAAACCCACCATCGTGCTTAAAGCCGTGGCCTCACATGATCTATGGATTTGGCATTGCTTCTTTGGTTTGCCAGGGTCTCCCAGTGATATCAACGTTTTGCAGCAATCTCATTTGTTTGCTCAGCAATCTCATTTGTTTGCTCAGCTAGCTAGTAGCAAAGCTCCAACTTGCAGGTATATCGTCAACGGCCATGACTATATCACGGGGTACTATCTTGCCGACGGTATTTATCCATCATGGTTAACATTTGCGAAGACCATTAGTGACCCCAAAACAAACAAGCATGATTTTTTTTTTCAAAGCACAAGAAGCTTGCCGAAAGGATATTAAGAGGGCATTTGGTGTGTTGTAAGCTCGGGTTGCCATTGTTTGAGGTCCTACTCGCTTTCGAGATAAAAAAATCTCTTTGAAACATCATGACTGCTTGAGTAATTTTACACAACATGATCATCGAGGATGGGAGGGATTTGGACTTGGACTACATGTTGGAAATATGCCCTAGAGGCAATAATAAATTGGTTATTATCATATTTCCTTATTCATGATAAAGGTTTATTATTCATGCTAGAATTGTATTGACCAGAAACTTAAATACATGTGTGGATGCATAAATAAGTACTGTGTCCCTAGTGAGCCTCTACTAGACAAGCTCGTTGATCAAAGATGGTTAAGGTTTCCTAACCATAGACATGAGTTGTCATTTGATAGCGGGATCACATCATTAGGAGAATGATGTGATGGACAAGACCCAACTGTAAGATTAGCATTTGATCGCATCACTTGAGTTTATTGCTATAGCTTTCTTCATGTCAAGTATCTATTCCTAAGACCATGCGATCATGCAACTCCCGGATACCGGATGAATACCTTGTGTGCTATCAAATGTCACTTCGTAACTGGGTGATCATAAAGATGCTCTATAGGTATCTCCGAAGATGTCTGTTGGGTTGGCATGGATCGAGACTGAGATTTGTCACTTCGTGTGACGGAGAGATATCTCTGGGCCCTCTCAGTAATACAACATCGTAAAGAGCTTGCAAGCAATGTGCTTAATGAGTTAGTCACAAGATCTTGTATTACGGAACGAGTAAAGAGACTTGCTGGTAATGAGATTGAACTAGGTATGGAGATATCGACGGTCGAATCCCGGGCAAGTAACATATCGCCGAACAAAGGGAATTGCATACGAGATTAACCGAATTCTTGACATCATGGTTCAATCGATAAAAGATCTTCTTGGAATATTTAGGAACCAACATGGGCATCTAGGTCCCGCTATTGGTTATTGACCGTAGAGGTGTCTCGGTCATGACTACATGATTCCCGAACCCGCAGAGTCGCATGCTTAACGTTCGTTGACGCTAGAGTAGTATTGGGATATTTGATGATTGGTAACCGAATGTTGTTCGGAGTCCCGGATGAGATCCCGGATGTTACGAGGAGTCTCAGAATGGTCGAGAGGTAAAGATTTATATATGGGAAGTCATATTTTGGGTTCCAAAAAAAGGTGCAGTTTTTTGGTATTGTACCAGGAAGCTTTCAGAAGGTTCCAGAGGATTCCGGAGGGGTTCGGAAGTTCACCATGTCCCAAGGGCTGGCATGGGCTGAGGGGAGGCGCCCTGGCCTTATTGGGCTAGGCTCACCAAGTCCTCAGAAGCCCATGTGGCTAGGGGAGGGAAAAAAGGGGAGTCCTAGTAGGAATAGGATTGGACTTGGAGTCAGCCCTCCCACGCATATAAGTATAGGGGAGGGGCGCAGCAAGGCACCCCAAGACATTGGCCTTGGGTGGTGCCCCGTCTCTCCCTCCCGGCATAGTTGTTGTCCATGGTTTTTCGCTTAGAGAAGCCGTGCCAGTATTCTGACTCCACCACCACCATCACCACCACTTCATTGTGCTGATTGTGATCCCATCTACTTCTCCGTCTTCTCTTGATGGATCAAGGAGGAGGAGATGTCATCGAGCCGCACGTGTGCTAAACTCGGAGGTGTCGTTCGTTCGGCACTAGATCGGTTGGACCGTGATCGGATCGCAAAGAGTACGACTACATCAACCGCGTTGTATACACTTCCGCTTTCGGTCTATGAGGGTACATGGACACACTCTCCCCTCTCGTTGCTATGCTTCTCCTAGATAGATCTTGGGTGTTCGCGGGATTTTTTTTGATTTTCATGCCCTGTTCCCCTACACTACAACTATGATAATGTTGGTAGCCGTGCGAAGCCGACCCCGATGCAGATGAGATCAGTGCATTTATTGAGACCTACCAGAAGATCGAGGACTGTGATTCGCATACCCAACTTCAGCATGATCTTATTGAGCATCAGTGGCAGCTCTACGGAGGGAGATAGATCCCCATTTGTATCCATTTCTATCCTGTGGGATTTGAATAATTTGGTGTTGTAATAATTATTTGAATTTGAACATTTGTTATAATGATGACTACTATTGTATTATGAGTTGCTTGAGCATTTGTATATTCGTATGTTGAATTTATTTTAGATTCCATTTGGTTGACATTATTGTGGATGTGCAATTTGTTTGATGTTTTACAAAAAAAAATACGGTGAGGCGAGCGATCCGGCCGAACATATCCCGAAAAAGCGTCCCGCAATTGCGGGATGCGTTTGCGGGATCTGTTTGGCCGGAGCGCTCGTTACACCATAAAAACAATTTGCGGGATCTGCTAGAGATGCTCTAAGACGTTTTGCAAGCTCAAAAACGTCTTACATTTTACATTGTGGCATGGAGGGAGTATTTGAAATCAACTTTGGTAGTGAATTAACTCTAGGTTCAAGCCATTTTCAATGCAATTGTCTCAAGCACGTTCAGATGTACTATTTCGGTGACATAGTTGATTCTGTCAGTGAAGCGAATTCACGGATTATTCTAAGCCAGTTAAAGCTGAAACAAGCAGAGTCTTCCATTATCTGGAGGAAATGTCAATGAAAATGGGCAAAACAAAAATAATGTGCTCTAACATATTCTCTCTATAGCCTCCTCTCTCACTAAAAAATTAAAAAATAGCTCTAGCCTATATGTTTAAAGGGTGGGGACTTTTAGAGTGCACCCTAAACATGAGAGTCTTTTTCTCAGAGAAACTAAACATAACTAGAATACTAGGCCTGTAAGGCTTCCTTTTTTCTGGGGTTTTTGGATTTTTTTTACCGGCCTTGTCAATTTGACGCGTGTGACTGAGGGGCTATTCCCGCGTGGGCTTTTTTTACTCGTGAATAGTTTTGCATGTTCTGGTCGTCTCGCCGCT